GATCTGTACTATAACCTATTAAACTTTTTAGGGACAAGTATCTTTTCTTTCTGTTGTGTGTGTAAGTGCAAGAAATGTAGTAACTTGCTCCCCACCCTTTTTTTTAAAAAAAAATTTTTTTTATTAAGTTTATTGCTTGTAACTTCGTTAAATTCATCCATAACTTGTAATTATCAGTTTTGAAATAATGCTTATTTATTAGCCATACTAATCATCACTATTATGAAATAAGGTCGCCTATCTCGATTTCCTTGTGTTGTAGCTCCAGGGGTAGTTTATTTATAAAAATATTATGATCAACTGCACAATCATCCCATTAAATTATAGTTAAATTAAAAACGGTAAAAACTCAAATGTAGGAAAATAAATATACCAGTATTATAGATAATATGGTAGTCAGGTTATACTGAAATGGGGGACGTGAGGCATCATGCATTTACAAGCCTAATTAATATACTTATACCCCTGAATATAGCCTTAACGCTATAAATTAGTGAAAAAAGTAGTAGAATATCTATTTTTCCTAAAAAATGTGTTATATTGTAGTAAAAACAAGGAAACTGCTACTCGGTTGTTACAGATAGTAATTTAAAAATTAGGTTGCGCCCCACTTTTTACTTTTTTAAGCACAGGGGTAAATTCTTTTTACTTTGTTATAACTCACAAACACTTCGTAGTAATTTCAAATCTGGAGAAAGTAGAGGGCAGTAAAAGTTCTTGTTTTTCTGCACACACCTTTCATAGCTAACGCTCGTTGTAAACATACTAGATTAGGCCTTCTTTAAATATAAATTATAAAAATATTTTTAGGCTTAATCAGTTTGGGGGCATTTTAGATCGTTACAATGTTAACTAAGCTATCGTTTTTAAAAAGTTCCTGGGGGGAAACTACTGGAATTATATATAAATTTCATTTAAACTTTTCCTTTACTAATTATTTTAGTGTGCTGCGGAACAGGTCGACGCTGTTTTATCGTTTTTTTCAATACAAATCGTACACATTGCAGACTATTTTAAGTAGTATTACATTTGGAACTTATAATATTTTCATTAGTTTGCCCTTTCTTTTTGAATTGTATCATGACCGCGTGCTAGCATCGAGAAGATTGCTATTTGCTTCTGGTGCAGTAGTTTAAGTTATAATGAACGCCCCCTATCATCGAAAGAATTTTTTGGCAACTTGCAACAGGATTAGTATTGGAGGGTTATGCAGTGGAGTTGTCATAAAGTAATGTTTCATAAAAGGTGAGGCTCAGTTCTGCACACCAATGCCCTTCTTACTGTCAGCAGGTTCACAAAATGAACTGGGAAGGTTATTAACAAACTCTTTTTTTTTAAAAAATAATTTTTTGCGTGCAAATAAATTACATTTTGCCCTATCAAGCTTATTAATATATATCTTTCAACCAAATAAATATAATACACTCGTGCTGTGTCATGTTTTGTAGAACATAAAGTTACAGGACAGAAACTCTAAAAACTAAATATATCATAGCTAATTAAGTAATATAGGTGTAGAGAAAAGGTTTTATAGACTACAGTGACCTAGTAAACAGTTAATCGAAAGTCGAGCAGGAATTTACTTCGTAGTAAAATTCCACGTGGAACTTACTAAATAAGTCGCAGTGCACAAATCATCTTGTAATCCAGTGCAATGCGCCTTCAGGTGAGAAACCTGAATTTTATGTGAAAAACTCCAATTTTAAAATTATACTGGCCAAAGTAAAAAAAGCGGTCTTGAAGCTACTATAATTAGCTTTGTCTAATACTTATGTTCGTAATCGTTATATTTTAGTTCACACAAGCTTTTTAATTAAACATTATATTAATAAATACTTTATTGTTACGCAGTTTCTCGTCTTCTGTGTAACAATGCTATCTTGAGAATTCTGCCTCTCATATCAAAGAAGAAAATGGATTAGGCAGCATGGGAGGATTTAAATTTTTAAGACACTACTTTTTTACTAATTTGCAAAAGATAACTTAATAATATATGCGGTTAGTTCTTTTCCAAGTTAAATAAAAAAATTAATAGGAAAGCTACTTCACGAAATGAAGTTATTTAATTAGACAAAATTTAAAATATAACAAACATTGCTTAATATATATCTGTATACTAAGTTGGTTAAATTTACATACTGCAAGTATGTTTAACATACTGCCAGTATGTTTAACCTTCGTTTCCGTAAAAAGTTAGTTTCGGTGCTGTTGAGTGGTTTTTCTTCAATTGATCTTGAGTTGTTAAATTAAGTCTATAAATTTCGCATGTAGTTAAGTTTTGTCGATGTATTTTCTTAAATAATATTCAAGAGAACAAATTGAAACGTACTCCAAAAAGATTTGAAGTAATAAAAATGTCTGTAAATTATAAAATAATAAAAAAATTTTAAACAAATTTTACCAAGTTATAAATATAATTGGAAGAAAATTCCTTTTGCTATAAAAATAACCAGATTTTCTGATAAATTTTTAAATGGTTTCTTTTTTTATAAAATTTGTATAACATTTAATACACAAAAATTTTAAAGTTTCTTGTTTAAAATATCTTGTTACTTCCATTGTAAAAAAAAGAGTATAAAATATTGGGAAAAGCACTGCTATTACTTTAGAACTTATAATAATGCTACAGATATTTTTTTAACGCAAAAGCAGTCATTTACTATATAGTTAAACCTTAAACCTAAGTTTTTGATCCACGATTTACTAGCTTTATTTTTTAAAGAAAAATATAATTAATTAAAAATTAATATTTATAGTTATAGTATATCGGAGTTGTATTTTTTTTTTTTTTAATAACGATCTCAACGACGAGGGGTCAGTCGAAATTTGAAATTTTTCCGTAAGCTGAAAAAAATTAACAAATAGCGAAGTGTAAAAAGTGTTAAAGGTAAAATAATAATATAAATACAAATACCACAATAATGGTGATAACTATAAAAGCGCAGCTTTAAATAATAGTGTTTTTTGAAATTTAAAAAGTTTGTAACCTTCACACCATCATACAGCTACTCAGTTGTTAAATAAGTTTTAGTTTTAAGTTTAAGTCTATTGGCGGTCCTATATTATAAGTATACTATACCAAAAAGCCCACTTGTAGGAAAGTACAGCGCGAAATTACCGCCTACTATAATTTCTAGAAGGGCCGCAACCCGCTACACGGCTATTCGGTATAAGATAAACGCAAAGCATTTGCTTATTACAAATTTTAAGGCGTGACAGAAAAGATAAGCCGCTAGTTAAAGTGTGCTGGTTTTACCCTTCAACCAGCAATCCTTTATTATTTGCTCTTTGAAGGCTACGAAGCGACCTTGGGTGCCAGTTTAAAGATAGGAATGACTTTAATAACATCTGAGGAGCCTTGTAGTTTTGAACAGAGTCATCATGAAATACGTCCTTATCAACTGGAAATTTTAGAGAAAACTAAAGAAACAAATTCTATAGTTTATTTACAGACAGGTTTTTTTTTTTTGCATAAAATACTTAAACAATTTTTTTTTAATTTATCATTATTTGATAGGCCGACATATAGTTTATTAATAATATTTTTTTTTGTAGGATGCGGAAAAACCTTTATTGCTATAAGTTTACTTAAACACATATATTTCGAAGATATGCTCCGATCGGTAAGCCAAAATAACGAAAGTGATCCTTTTTCAGAAAGTTTGGTTTTTGAGAGAAAGGAAAGTATAAATAACTACAAAAAAAATAAATTGTTATATTTTTACATGTGTCCTACCGTTGTGCTCTCTCTACAACAAGCTCAGTATATCGCTCAGCAAACATCTTTTAAAGTACAAGCCGTTTACGGTGCACTTGGTAGGAATTTTACTTTTTTAGAACCACTTTAAGTAATAAATAATTACTAAATTATTTTTAATGGATTATGTAATATCAGGGGTTGATACTTGGAATAAAGAAGTAGTTTGCGAATTTTTAAGTAGATATGATGTCTTCTGTATAACTCCTTGTATTCTTAATAACTGGTTGCGTCATAAATTTATTTCCATGGCAGGTTGTTTTATAAAATTGCCTTTCTTTTAAGTTATTATATATAATAATTTTTTTTGATATTTTACTGCAAATTTTCTGAGCCAAAAAAAGAATATTTTTACTTAAGTTTTAGGATTTTTAATTTTTATTATAGTAGTCCTTCTTGCAATGAGTTTTGCTTAGATTACTTTAAAATTATGTATTTAATCTGAAGAATTTTGTTACCTTATTTTTTTTCAACACTTATTTCTTTCTGTTTTACAATATTTATTAACCAGTTTTTTTTCTTTTTATGAAATCTAATTTTTTTGGAAAAGTAGTTTTGTTTAGAATTTTTTTTACTTAATTTTTAATTTTTGTTTGGTATATAGAAATTTATTGTTATATTAAATTTTTAGATGAAATTTGTATAGTTTTAGTAATTCTTTTATTTGTCATTATTACTTTTTTAATGAGATTGCTTACAAAAATTAGTCAAAAGATGTAATTTTTTATATGATTTTCTCTCTGTTATGTTTAAAATAATTTGTAATTCTAATTAATAACTATGATTTTTTATATTAAATATAAATAGGTTATATTAATTTTTTTCTTAATATTTAGATTAAATTGTGAAAAAAATTTTTAGTTCCATTTTTCTTAAGTAAATTATAAAAAATAATTACTTTTTTCATAATATAGTAGATTAAGTTGTAATTTTAAATTTATATTTTTAAAATATCTTAATATAAAGTTATAAAATAATTATACTACATTTTTCCTCTATAATAATTAAATTAATGTATACTAATTTGTTTTTATACTTCCTTAATTACATAAACTTAAAATCTAAATTTCTATTTCTAAATTGTTTTTAAATAAATTAATATATTTATACTATAATTTTTCTCTATAATATTATAACTTAAAGGGATTTTATTTTAATTGTATTATAAAATTACAAATAAGTTATACTTTAATAATAAATTAATTTTTTATAAATGTTATACTGTAAAATTCATTTTTAATAGATATTAGTCTATTGATCTTTGACGAATGCCACAACGCCGTCAAGGCGCACCCGTACACGAAAGTGATGTCTCACTACTGTCAGTATTTAAAGGAGCGCTTTCCCTTTACTTTCACGGAAGATCGCCTTCTTCGGCCGCGCATTCTTGGCCTCACTGCTTCTCCCATATCGTTTAAACTTTATCAGAAATTTGATGCCGGTTAAGTTTTGTTTTCTTTTTTCTTTTCTTTTCTTTGCAGATTTCGTGGTTTGAAAGATTTTTCCTTATACACTTTTTTAGAATAATATTTTTTTATAATTTCAATTTAAATTTAATTGTAATATATTAAAGGAAATTTATCTTTTATAGGTTTTTATGTTTAGTTTATAATTTTATATTACTTGTAATAAAGTTTTTTACAAATAAAAAATAATTGTACTATAGAATTTACTTCAAAACAAATTTATATTATAATTAGAATATGTATATTATTTATGAATTATTTTACTTACGATTTATGTAATTTTTAAAGATTTTAAAAAAAGTTTTGCATATTCTGGAGATTGAATTTGTCTTATTACTATGAACACATTAACTGTTGTTACTAGTATACTAGTATTTACTAGTGATTTTAAAATAATGCACAGCTAAAATTTAAATTTAAATTTTCAAGATTTACGTTCTGTTTGTAGTTTTTGAATTCTCTGTTCAATATTTTTCGATTTGTTTTTTTTTAGTCCTGCTATTTACGAAGCTCGATGCTCTTTTACTTTTAGCTTAACCGATTTTTTTAATCTTTTATTATAATTGGTTTTAGTCTACTATTTTTCATATTTTTTCAGATGTATTTTTGAGTTGTTTAATATATTATTGAAGTCATATATTATTATGATTGTTATTTATATAAATTTTTTTCTATTTTTACAAAAGAAACATTAAATTTAAAATTTATAATAGTAAACGTCAGCTTTTAGAAATTCATTATTTTAATTTTTCCCCGATCTTCTAAACTATAGGTTATAGGCTTAAAATAGAAACTTAATATTCGATAATTTATTTTTTCCGCATTATTTTTTTCATTACTTTTTATTAACGTTGTAAGTTGTATAATATTCTATTATTTGTAGAAAAGCTTCATATTTTTTAGTGCGCAAAAATATTCCGTTATTAAATTTTTTTTAATGAATCTAAATTTATTATCCAGCGGCGTTGCAGGAGCAACTTTCTCTGCTGGAACACGTGTTGTGTTCTAAAATAGTAACAATTGACTCTGAAGAAAGTTTGAAAGATTTTGTTGTGGTAAATTCTATTGGTTGCTCATATTAACACGCTTTAAAGCTTTTTAAAGACTCCGGAAGAACACGTGGTTTGGTTCCCATCAAATTTTGCGTCTAAAAATGAGAAGACTGCTTGGGAGGTTTGTTTATGTGTTGGTGTGGGGCACGCAATTAGATAATAGCTACCAGATTATAATTAAACTCTGCAGCTTGGGCTTTTTTTTATGAAGTTCCAAATGTTAATGTGAATGTTTTTAGAAAGTTTTTGTTACGTTTCTTTTGTTACTATTATATATATTACTAATTTATAATAATAATAATACTTTGTAATTAGTAAATATTATAAAAAAAAGGGGGGAATATTATATATACTGGTATGTGGTATAAGTAGACATAAAAAATTTATATTTTTTTATAAATGAAAATAGAAAATATGATTTAAAATTTTAATTATTTTAAGATCCTTTATTGTTTTAGGAATTAATATATTTACTATTGATATTTATAAGTATTTTCTTTATTTTATATTTATGATTTATTATATTTTTATTTACTTATAATAATTTTATTATATAATGCTATTATAAAACTTAATATTTTTTATTTTTATAAGTAAATTTTATTAGTATTCTTATAATTTTTTAAATATAATTAATTTATAAACGTAAAATATTATTTTAATATTTTAATAATGAAAACAAATTTTGTTGACACTAATTTTTATAATTATATTACTACATCTAAAAGGCATAAGCTACCCATATCATTACTTTGTAGCACTTTCTGTATATTTTTGTATCTATTTTTAAAACATTCTTTTGGTTTGTTGCTTATTTTGGACTTTTTTTATTAAAAACTTTTATAACCTTCTTTACTATTATTTGTTAATTAGCGTTTCTTTTTTTTCTTAAGTTGATTTTTTATGATCTTAAAATTTGCTTGTTTTCCATTTATTATATAACAATTATAATTTTTTCATTTTTGTCATGTTTATATTATAATGCGCATAATAATTTTTATTTCTTTTGTGCTTTTTATTTTATTTATGTTGCTCATCTTTTTTAAGAAACTTTTGTTATGCTTTTGAACGAGTAGTTCTTTATTTTTTAAATTTTTAATAGTTATTATTAAGTGTTAACTAATCTTATAAAGAAATAGAAAATTTTTCATGATTACCACAAAAAAACTTACTTTGTTTTGTATGGGAACCGAATAATTTATATTTTTTCAAGTTTATTTTTGTTATTATTTCATTATTATACTTAAAAAAAAAACGTAAAATACAATTATTTTTCTTTTTTATAAGTAACTGTAAATTTTTCCTTACTTATTTTTTAATGAATGTTGTATAAATGTAACGTGGTCTCTTAGACTATATTTTTGTAAATTTATATTTTTTATTAAATTTTTTTGGATATAAAAACTCTTTAAAATTTATTACTTAAAATTTTTATACTTTATAATAAGCATATTATATTATTTTTGTTAATAAAATTTTTATCACTAAATTTTAGGTACAGTGGCGTAACTCTGTCTCATTGGCTGTTTGCAGTCTTGGACGGATCGCTTTAGATTATTTAGGCAATACTAGTTTGTTGACGCCATGTGCTCTCAAGGTTTCAGATTTTATTTTTGTTCCGTGCAGTTTTTTAAATTTTTCTTATCTCATTATGAAAATAAATTTTTTTGTTGGGATGTAGCAGATCAATAAATTTTTGCCGTATGCACGTGTATTTTCGGCATTATATTTACGAATGGCGGTATTCGTTAAAATTTATAAGACTGAGTGCAGCTTTTTACGCTTTAGTATAAATAAAATATTTATTATAACAATTAATAGAAATTTTGTATGAAAATCTTAATAATATAAAGAAAAATAAAAGTTTTTATAATACTTTATAATACTGAACTTTCTTATTCAAAAACAATAATATTAATAATAAAAATAATGAGATTAATACTAATAATTTAATAATTGTAAAGGAGCTGGAGAGATTTCCGATGTATACTAAGAAATCGCAAAAGCTAAAAGCGTTGCTTCTCCGCTATTCGTCCATAAAAACAACCGACAAAATTTGCCAGGGAAACGATGGTGCATTATCCACCGATCAAGACACACCGTTTTGCGGTATTGTATTTGTTAATCAGAAAATTTGCGCTCTCGCATTGGCCAAAATGATTAAAAACGATCCTGAGTTGAGCAGTTTCTACCGGCCTGGAGTTTTGTAAGAGGCTTACGGTTCTATAAGAAATATAAATCACGTGCATTAACTAAATGTGTGACAAAATATTATGACAAATAAAATAAATACCCCTAAAGTTTTATATAAATATTATAAAAGTGAATAAAAGCAACATAGAAAAAATTAATTGTGTTCATAATTATTTACTTTTACCAAAGCTAAAAAGTTATGTGTTATTTATATATTTTATATAATTTTGAAAAGTTTTTGAAATAAATGTTCGTAGTTTTCTAAGATAAGCATGAATTTTTATGAAAGTAAAAACATGTTAATATTAAGGAAGTTTAGTTCAATTTTAATATTTGTAGCAAATTATTATTAAAAATCATCTAACAATTCAACTAACAGGTTTGGCCTGAAAGACACATTCCACTTAAAATGTCAAAATACAGAATTCGATGAACAAAAAAATATCATAAAAATTGAGGAAACTCCGAATCCAGAAGCAAACGAAACTCATAGTTTATTATTATCATTATTATTGTCATTATTATTGTTATTTTTATTATTATCTTGAAGGTCCGCCTTTTTTCTTGCTCCGCTTACCGACTTTCGATGAAATAAAGAAACTCGCATCTTCCGGGCCTCTTGATAAACTCGTTACTAAACAAAATGACACTAAAATAAAAGTTGAAAGTGATAATAGTGAAGATGATAGCAATACTTTCACAGAAGAGGAGAATAGCAATATTATTAACGAGCAAAATAATACGAAAGATAGTGAAGAAGCCAATACCTGTGCAGTGGACGATCTCTTGTGCTTTAGCGTTGAAGAATTATTGGAGGATGCTCAAAGTATGAACCAGTTCTTTTCTTTAGCCCAACAGCGAAAGACAATGGATTTGTTTATTAAAGGACAGGTTGGAAAAATAATGAAAATGATAAATAATAGTGATAAAATTAATTTAATGAAAAATTTCTCCAATATTTTTTAATGAAAATAACTACATTAAAATAAATAATTATACACTTAATAAAAGTGCTAATAATAAGAATTATAATGAAAGATAAGTAATAATTTTCAAAAAATATTTCTTTTTATTATTATTATTATCCACTTTTATAAAAGTTTTTAATCATTTATTTTTAAGTTATTAAATTATTATTTTTTACTTTTATAAAAGTTTTAATTATTTGTTTATATATGTTAATAATGTTATTAAAATATTATTTTTTGATTATTCACTCCATAAAAGTGCTGAAAACTTATAATAATAATAAAACTACAATGTTTTTTTCTATAAAGTAATATTTTTTTATAAAAATATAATATATCGTATATAAATTACTTTGGGTGTTTTATAATAAATAAAGTGTGTATTATTATATAAGAAAAGTTATGAATATATTTTTTACTATATATTTTTTTCTATAAAAGGTGAATGTTTTAGTGTCCACGTCGGTGGCTGAGGAAGGCCTCGATGTTGGGCGTTGCAACTTCGTTGTTCTATATGATAGCGCTCCCAGCTTTAAAAAATACGTAAAAAAATTCCTTTTTTTGCAGAACTTTTCTTTATTAAAGTTCATTATTTTTATTAAATATACTCTAGAAACTTTTATTATTTGCATAGTCTCTATTTCTTAGGATATTTTTTATATTAAGTAATTTTGAGAAAGTTTATTATCATGATAATTTGATTAAGTTATTAACTACTGTTTTAAATATTTTTGACCTGCAGATTCAAGCAAGAGGAAGAGCTCGTAGAGAAGGCGGTTCACTATTTTTTTTTCAAGAATATTTTGAAGCTGATCAAGTGCGGCCCGTTTGTCCCTTACAACATTATAAAAAGTGTCTTTACGCTTTTTTTAAAAATAATAATAAGCAAACTTATAGTATTCGTAAAATAAAAATATTATATGTTATATAAAAATACGAAACCTTTTACCACTAAAATGCGATACGTCGTGGATATTATTATAATATAAAATTTTTCATGAGTTTATTATTATACAATAGTTTATAATTCAATTAAGTTATTTATTTCAATAGCTTCTCTGATTCGAGTAAAAAAAAAAGTTTAATTTATTGGCTTTCATTATCATTAAAAATATTGAGAAAAAAAAAATTAAGTGTATGTCAATTATTTTTTTTAGGATTGAAACGTGCATTTTGCAAAAGTTGATGTCGCAGGTCAGCCCGGCCTCCTACTTTGTTGACCACAGTTTGTACACTGGCACGTGCGCTTATTTACGGAGAAAAACTTGATTATTTATTTATTTACATTATAAGTGGAGATTAATGCTATTTGTAATCGTTCTCATTGGACAAATGTTTATTTTTTTGATATACTGTCCCTCTAATATATTTATTATTAAGAAGTTTTCTGTTTTTTTTTTGTTTAATATTTTTTTAACAGGAGGAAGTGAGTTTACTACCAAAACCGGCATTGTGTTACGCGCTGAGGGTAACTTTAGAATAATAGAAAAGTTTATTTATTTAAGAGTCAACAGTACTGAACTACGTTGAGATCTCATTGGTTTTTTTTAGTAGCAAAAGTGTGCTTTTCAATAATTTTATTGAGTAATATTTATAAAAATATAAAGTTTGGTACAGATTTTGAAAATTTTATTTTACACTTCGTTTATCGCTGTTTTTTTGAAGCACGTGTTGATCACGTCCTTCAGCATTGAACATCCATATCATTATTTTGATAACTGTTTATCCTATTCGCAGAGGCTATCACCTGTCTTCACCGCTACTGCGCCACATTGAATACCAATACGCACACAGCATGCTCCCCTGTTTATCATGTGACCAATGCCAGAGGTTTTAAAAGTTTAGTAGACTCGATGAGGCTAACTGGACAAATTGATTGGCCGGAATGTTCACCTTCCATCGCATGCAACGAAGGTACATTTGTTGGGGTTTCTTATACTTTTACAGAGTTAATTTTTTTCTATAAAGTTAATTAAGTTTCATTGTTTATTTTTTTTTATAAACTTTTGATTGACTGCTTTTATACAATCATACCAATCATAATAATTGTTAAGCGGTTGACACTTTTGCAAATTCTTTCTCTAGGGGAAACTCTAATGACCCGCCCTTCTTCTGTATGTATTACTGCTTCCGTTTCATTCCGTTATACTCATTTGTTGAACTCATTATTTTCAGGCACTGTTCAACTGCCTGGTGATTCGCCAGTTTCGGTTGCTTTCACTTTGGAATATCATGATATTATTTTTCATGGCTTGGTTTATAGTTTGTTATGCCCCCTGATAGCTATCGCGGCTTCTCCTCTAAAAAGAGAGCCCGCCAAGAAACTGCACTGATAGCCTGTCAGCGCTTGTATCTTGCTGGTACCACGTGGCTTCCCTTAATTTTATTGCTAATGGAGTTTAACTTTTATTTTAATTAATTTTCTATAGGAGCGCTCGATGAGCATTTGCTGCCAATGTCCATACAGATCCTTAAAAATAGCGACCTCATGAAATCCTCTCCCTTGATTTCCAATCAAAACTATCGAGTGCATATCCCCATGTTTTTACGGTTTAACAAAAAAACTTGCCCATCAAAGCTGCGCCAAGAAGCCATTTGTCAAGCACTGCCCCAACAATGCAGTGCAGAAGGGCTTGTACGCACTGAAAATAGTGAACAGAATTGTAATGTTGAGAACTCAGAGTTGCTAAAGGCGCCAAAGTTTCAACTGGAGCTTTTCCTTTATGAGTTTAATTCTATTGGCTGGAAGGGAACGCCGGCGTCCTTAAAGTTTGCCGCGAAACAGTGTTGCAATAATTTGTGTTTATTAACGCTTGGGCCCCTCAATCAGCTTATTGGTGTAGTTTTCTTATGGAGATACGCTATACTTTCACTTAAATTTGTAATCACACGTGATTAGGAGGCCATCACTTTCCTCTTATTGGTCAGTATGAAAAAATTAAAAGTAACAAGCGCGGTCTACAGGATTGTTTAATTCATTTTAATTTTATTGGTAAATTTTTTAATCCGTTTATCTTATTCGCTAATTTCTGTTTGGCTTAGTTTGGTGTTCGTACATTGGTCAATGTAAGAAAATACACGGTGTTGCTGCCTTAGTTTTTGCAGTATGCGCTGAGAATATTGTCAGCCCCCTGCACATGTCGTATAACGGCGCTTTTTGGGCTCATTATCTTTTCAAACTGATAAATTATTAGCTTTTATATAGTTATATCGTTAATTTCTTTGGCTTAAATTTGAAGTTTCATTTACAAGTGTTTGATTGGTCGATATACTCTAACTCATAGGCTCGTTTACTTCTAATAAAAAGCAAGTAAAACTTCTCTGGCAGGCGCATTGCCATATGTTGGCCACTGCTATTGATCCTCGCGACTATATTGGTACTGTTTACTAAGATTCATTGTTTTACGCGCAAATTCAATGATTAATTAATATTTTCAAGCCTTTATAACTTGTTTTATTGGTAAAAATACTTGTTTTAATCTTAACGAGAAGTTTATCTGCTTACACAACTCTGCATATAAAAATTTTTAGGATTTTCCTTCAAAAGTTTATCTAAAAATTCGAGAAATTATTTTATCGCGCCGTATCGGAAAAAAATTTCCCAACAAGCTGAGGCAGAAGAGAAGTCTTCTTTTTTATTAAAGAACGAGAACTACATACCAGTAGCCAATCGCATAAACTGGAGTGTGGCCAAAAAACTTTCTCTTCATCTCGGGCAGTTGAAGCGGCGCAATAAAGAAGAGTTGACCCCCACTAAAGAACCTATAAACGAGTTGAAATTGGCCGCTGGCCTTTTGGAGTCTGCCAATGCGGTTGAGCCGTGGAATAGCAATGACAACGATAATAATAATAAGGCAACTTCTGTAGGAGCTTCTTATAATAATCTTATACCGATTAATAAGATTAAAGAATTTGATGTTGACGTAAATATACAGAACCACATCTCTACTTCTAATGAAACTATTTTAAAAATTGAGAACATAAATATAAATAATTCTTTAGGGAAAGAAAATAATAGTACTACTGATAATAATAATAATAATAATAACAAAAGTAATATTAATAATAATAAACACCAACCCAACAATAATGAGGTCATTTTACTTCCGAAAAACGAAAAAACACGTCGTATTATTCGAACTTTACAGGAGCGGGGAGAAAAGTTATATGTAATTGAGGTTCATTAATTTTTCCTTTTTTTTTTTAATGATGAAAACTTTTTTATATTATTTTTATTATATCAATAAAACTTCTTCGACTGTTAAAGAAAAGCTTTTGTTAATATAGTTTGGGCGTGTTTCTCTTATTACTTTTTAATGTATAAGAAATGAGTCTGCTTTCACCAATAAGTATAGCGTATATTATCCTTCTTTGGCTACTTTATCGCTTTAGTTTTAGTCACTCGAAAACACAACTGCGCACGCTATATTTATTATTATTGGTTGTTCGGCAAAGTGTTCTTTTAAATGGTCGGTTAAGTTTTATTTGTTTAAAAATTCTACTACGCTTTTTCTTGCAGGGCATGCATCCGTCCATCTGCTTGGACACACACGTGGGCGAGTGGAGCGAGGCTGATAAGGCAGATCCGGAGTACATTCGCCAGTTTCTCCCGCATGCTTTTTCTAAGCCGCTCCAGAGGAAGTATTATAACGTTGATAATAATGAGGAGCTTCCCTCTATAGCAGAGGTTTGAACTTTGTTTGTTTTTTGGAGGCTTTTTATTTTTCAGCCTCTTTTTTTTTATATATTTTTATTAGCAAAAAGCTAAGAAAACAACACACATTCGCACTACTATACGGGATTGGTTTAAAGTTTTTCGTTCTCGTTTGCATTTTCCTAAAAGGAAAACGCCTCTTTTTATTGCACGAGTTTTACTTCCCTCTGAAAGTATTTTTTTTAATAACGAAAATTATAGTGACTTAATTTTTTTATAAAATATTATGAAATTTAAAAAATATTTAAATTTATATAAATCCATTTTAAGTATCACATAATATATGGAAACATAATGAAACTATAAAAAGAACTGATTGACCTCAACTATTAAAAAAAAATAAGATATTTTTATGTAACTGAATTTTTTATTACAAACGAAAATATTTATTGATTTGTATTGCTATTAAAAAGTTTTTTTAACCCCAGCACGTGTACTCTGGAGTTGGTACTATTTTTTATTCATTTTTTTCCTAACAAACTTCGAGGTATTCATTCGATGCACTTTGGGACGACCTTCCGCTCTTCCCGCCCTCGTTTGCATCTCGGAAAAAAGTATGTTTTCGTTTTTTTATTACAAACTCGAAGAATTGTTTATGTTGGGAATTTTTGGCCGATTTTTTAGATATTTACTTGTTCCTTCGCTTTGTCGCCCTTTTGGAGATATTCCCGAACGTTTCATCGCCGGCTGTTACATACTTCCTACTTTGCTATGTGACTTTGAATATGTTTCTAGCATTACTGGTGAGCGGCCTTTATTTGTCTCTTTCTCTATTGGCTTATCTTTGTCCATTTTCTTAAAGAACTTGCTTATATTATTATTAAATTTTGTCTGAACGCATAAATTTTGTTCTTTATTTACTTTTATTAATTTTATATTTTCGTGGTTTTTTATAAACTGTTCGATATTTTTTAGCTTTACTGGCGGCAACTATCGCGTGCTTTTAAAGACTTATTCCTATTCCTTACTATTTCTAATATTTATTGGCTTGAAGAACTTATTTTGTTTGGTGTTAAAAAGATTTTTTTTTCTCCTTATTTTTCTTTAAAAACTTTTCATTGGCTCTTAACTGCTGGGTTCGACTAATAATGAAACTATTTAGAGTTTTCGATGAATGTATTTCCAGAAGAAAGCTTTAAACTTTCATATAAATCTTTGCTTATGCCCTTTACCAGGTTTTTTTAATCTTTTATTTAATGAATCATTACAATTTTTGATCTGATAATGCGTAGCAGTTCGTGTATTACCGGAAAATATTTAACTGATAATGAAAGGCTTGAATTTTTGGGTCGTCCTTATAATCATTATATTCAATACTTCAGTATCTTATTATTTCAATATTAATATTGAATAGAACTACAATTTTTATTGAATTAATATTATTTTCTTGCTACTAGTCTCATTATTATTATGACCATTTTTTAAGGAGATTCTTGGTTGAAATATTTTGTTACTATTCTCACTTTTGAGAGTGAAAATAGTATATTCCACGAGGTTATTGTTTAGACATTAAAAAAGTATCATTTAAAATAATGAAAAAAATAGCACTCCTTTTTATTGGCATTAAAATAAAATTGTTATTACCTAAATAAGTGTATTAGAGAAACTTTAAAGATTAAGTAAAACTACTATTTGATAATGAACAAATGTATAGTTTCGAAAACTATCGTAATAGAAACTATCAGGAAAATTTAGGCAAAATACTGAATTTAACAAGTAGAATTAGACAATAAGAAAAAATAATAAATCTATAAAAAAATTACAAGTTGAATTTTTTTTTATTTACTGCCCTCTGCTATTGGATAATATTTTATTTATTTGCAAAAGGGCATTCTCAGTAAAATCCGCGCCGGCATTGTTTCCAATAACAATCTGGCGGCTTGTAGTCTGGAAGTCAACATTCCGTCCTTCATAAGGACTGTTTCATTCCAGCCTGGTTGTTCATTAAATATAATGCAGTATTTGAATTAGAAGAATAATAAAATAAGGAAAAGATTAACTAGAAAAAATACTTTATTTACTTGCAAAATTGTAGTTTTCATGTACATATTTGTAAACGTCAGTAAAATTCATGAATATTTTGAGTAGTTTTTGTATGCCAGTAAAGCGTTTATGTTATAGATATAGTTGATAATGTTAGTAACTATAATGAAAAATAGTTGCAGGGTTGGCCCCTTTTTCATTATTTATTTGATATATTTTATGCTTTCCCAACGAATTTATAATATTTATAATGAAATATTATTTTTAATTTATAATTCCTTTTTTTAAATAAACATAAACTATCAATTTTGTAAATCATTATTATCCTTTTTTAGTTGGTCACTCTATACTTTTAGTGATCCTTAACTTTTTTATGTGATAGGAGGAGGACTCTTCTTGCACAAGTGCTTGCCTTCCTTTTTGACACCCGGAACACCCCCTTCCGCCAAAAAACCCCAGAGACCCTGGCGACAGTTCTATTTGTTTTGCTATTGGTGTTTTTTTTATTTTTTTAATAGTTGTTTAGTTATAAACAGCACAATCTTTCAAGTAAAAGAGTAGCGGAT